GCAGGTGTAGATATGGACATCCAGAATAGAATGAAATGTGGCCGGTGAGTGGGGATGCCATCAGGATGGCTGGATGTGGAAGGCATTACAGATGACAGAATAACCTACAGGTTGAAATATACGACACAGCAGACATGACTTGCCCTTGCAATACAAAACCAGATACACAGAATGCAGCCGATGCAGCAGAAAAACACCATGTGTCTGGACGCAGCCCCTGTGCATCTGATAAAGGGTTTATTTTTACTGATGTCTAGGAATACTTGAAACTTCAAGTAAAATAAACTGAGTCTTCTGAGATACTTGAAACTACAACTACAGTAGAACCAAAAACAAACCCTTGAACTAGTAGTAGATTCTAGTTCTTATTACAACCCACCTCTCTTCTATGTCATATTTTGTTTCTGAACTTTACCCCTGCCCTCTTCAAAGCACTGAATGGATTAATCACACTTCGTCCACCTCAGTCAGAAAGATTCACACCTTTAGTGCAAGCTGTCAGTCCAAAATGAGGACATAGAGAACCTGGAGTGACAGAAAGTAATCGCTATTTTTGTTTGTCAGGATTGCAACCAGATGGATTGCCAATTAAAGAGCATAGTCTAAAATCTGCTAACAAAATCATTTAAGCACAGGGTCTATGTGGCATTTTTGACCTCCTATAGTTTCTAGCACTACTGGTGTATCAACTTAGAGGAGGGGTATAGTAGAGGGCTGGGGTATTTTGACAACTACCAATGTGGCTCGTTCTTTGTGAACACTTGAGGCCAGGACAGCCTGATTTAACCTTTTCACATTTATATTAATCTTTTTAATTTTGTTTTAAGAACTCTATGTGTACCTGGTATGTAGTTAATTTGTTTTATGTTTTATTTTGAGTATCTGTTCAAACTTCAATTGTTTTATATTTTGTTTCAAGTATCAGTTGATACTTAGTTACATTTATGGTTTGATTGAATAAGAACATGAGTGAGAATTCATAATTACACTCAAATATATGTACTTAAAAAGAGTACTAGTTTCCACTCTGAAAATAGCAAATATTAACAGAGAGTATTCTAATATACTCCGTTAAACAGTTAGCTTTATATTTCCCTTCCTTGAAACCACCTCTCAAAACCTCCTATAGCAAGCCTAGGCTATACTATTTCTGGCAAATAGCTTCTTACTCCTACTGTGCCTAATGGCATAATTAGCACCCCTGCTTAAACATCTTACAGCTTGGAGATTGTAGATGTACTACCCAGAATATTGTTTATCTAGAACTTTTATTGCAAAGTTAGGAAGATTTGAATCGGGGATGGAGGACATGATGGAGTAAGCTATTAAGAGATAACACAAAAGTAGATAGAACAGGAAATTGACATTTGGAGGCAAGTTGATCTAGGAAATTGAAATATGAGTGAGGGATGGGTTAAGGTTCAGTTTTGGTTTTTTATTCTCTTCACCAGTTATATCGTCCCTCTTAAATCCCACTGTATAGTCAAACAAATCAGATTTGTTTAATCTAAACTATTGATTTCTGCAAGTGATAAGAAAGATTATAATTATTACATTAGCAAGGTCTTGAGTATGCTAACAAGAGATTGAATTGTATTACAGTATTTGACCCGTTTGATAGACTGAGAGACAATAATCCTCGGGGTCTCCAGGTGGTCCACTCTATTAACTTCGGACCATCCCCCCGGTTGTATGGTATTGTTCAACTGGGTATGAATATAGTTCGAGGCCGCCAAACAGAACAATATTGAAACAGGAAGTGACTGGGGTACTACGCTGGCCCAGATTTACGGACATCCTAGGGGTCGAGTGCTACTTCATAAGGACAACACTTTGTGAGAAATCTTCGAACGACGCTATCAGATATAGAAAGGGGGTTTTGTATGAACGGGGAGGGGGGATCGTACTATACATATCGGGTAAGTTGGCAAAACTGCCAAACAGGAGAAAGATACAATTGCAACCGCTAGGCCATCCGATGCCCTACCGACACCATGCAAGTCCCACCGGCTCATTTCCCCTGCCTACCCCATATAATCCCTTAATAAAACATCTTAAACCGGGTTATATCCAGCAGCCATCCTCCCTTCCCCGTTCTCCTTCTCCATATGACTAGTCGCACAGCTAAATCTCTGCGCAACCCCCGTCCCAATCGCTCCTCCTTCCAACATTCCACAAATCAGCGCCATTCCCGGTACTGCTCCACCCCTTATTGGCACTGGTAATCGCATCCTTTCACTCCTCACATTCGAGGGGCTAATCCTTCCGCCGATGGCCCCGGACACCGCTTTCACAGCCTTGGGCATTATCTTTCGGGTGCCTTTTCGGTGTTGTATCCCGTCACAACCACGGCAGCAAGACCGAACGCCGGGAGGGGTGTCGGGCAAAAGAGGTCCATGCGGGAGCCGGGATCCTGTTTTCGAGGTGAAAGCCGATGGCAGCTCCAGCGGGTCAGCCTCGCTACCCCCATCAGCGACACCGCAAGAAGCAAGGCCAGGGACAGAAAAGGGAACTCAGGAAGTTACGTATTGCGAAATCACTCCACCCAGCAGCAAACATCTTGGACACTGGGGGTAAATGCAGAGCCGGCAAACAGAAAACACCGGTAGGGATCCCAGCCACCTTGAACACCACATATGTCTAACAAAGCTAATCCTCCTCTGTCAATATCTCCCACGACAACACCCTGCAGGAGATCCACACCGACTGCCTCCGCAGAAAGATTCACGAAGATGGTGCAGCGTCCGCACTACCAGTCGCCGTTGTTTCCAATACACCAGGCCCCGTAGCCCACACAGATAGTAGAAAAGGTTTTCCAGCCATGGCCGCAAGTGAGCGACGTTAGGTTGGCGATGGTAGGAGAGAGTGTGCCGGTGTTTGCATTGTAGCTTAGGCTCTGTTTGGCGGGAACGGAACCGTTTGAGACTGTTCAATTTTCTCATACAAAACAACCGTTACGAAACGGAAGGGTAAGAAAATTTGTATGGGGAACGGAACGGAAAGGACGCGAACGGTCGTATCCAAACAGACCCTTAGCTCTATCGGAGAGAAGTTTTAGATTAATGGGGTGGTGCTCCCGGTGATCCAGAAGTGCGTAATGAGGTTAGGGAGAAGGAGAGTGAAATAAGGGAGAAGAGGAAGATGGGTTTTGGGGATTGCCCTGCGCCGAAGCTGGAGAAGCCTGTTAGGTTCATCATTTTGGAGCTGAGAAACAGCAGAAACTTTCAGATCTTAGGGCTAGAATGGGAGTGAAATAGAAAATTCTTTTTAGGTCTTTGCAATGGCTTCGAGAGGTATGGATGTCCCGGTTGATGCTGTCGATCCGGTGTTCGAGACGAACATGACGGACAGGCTGACGCAGACTGGAAAGCATGTGGATGGGTGAGATGTTGGTCGGGAGGGGTGAGTAGTGGTGACTCTTTCGTCGTTTTTCTACGAAGACCGGAGACCGTCCTCGGACCATATCATTCTCATCTTCGTTGGCTGTTAGTTGTCAAGGGGCAGTGTCAACATCCAGCGGTCCTTTGAACAGCAAACGCCCCACGCGATAGCTTTGTCATTGATTCCGTCTAACCCGTCAAGGGTGGTCATTGACGCCTTCCGGCCGATCACCCACAATCCTGATTGTTGGACAAGAGCCCCTCGGGACGATCTCCAATCTTGTCCATCTCAATACAACCTCTGTCCAGACATTGGTCCACAGGCTGAACAGTTGTTGCTGCTCTATCCCTGTATTCCTCGGGACATTGCCCCACTAGAATAGATACACCTCGCCCGATTACTACCTTGGTAGTCCAGCTCTCCAGGAGAATTGATGAGGCGCCCCTACCGGATGAATCAGTTACCTGTTCTTCCACCACTCCTAAGGTCACAATTCTGACTTTCTCCGAGAACTTTAGCTCCCTCAGTTTAGTTGTCATCGCCCGCGCTCCATCCCTGAAAAACGAGCCCGATCAGTGCAGATGACTCACCTCAACCACTACCACCACCACAACATCCGCTTTAACCTAACCAACTCCTTCAACAGATAGTGCAATTCCAATTTCCACCCATCCAGCTACCGTACTCCGCGCGCCCTAGCCCTCTCACCTGAAGAGGCTCTCATAAGCTAGCCCCTACTCGTCCTGCGCAACAACTTGGCAAAGATGAGCCCGAGGATCACCGCCTATTTTTAAACTTTATTGGTAGCTGGGCCCCGGACAAGCTCCTGCGTATCCGAAGCGTGGGCATCTGCAGGTAAATAAATGACGCGAGCCGGGGTAATTCCCGAACCCAGATCCCGGAGTTCCTGGGCTCAAACTTGGAGATATGAGGATTCGAACCGAGCAGTGTGAACAAGATCGAGAGCAATCCCGAGGGCTCCGGGCATATAGGGACTGCAATACTGACAATTCTTGAGCTAGATATCGAATCCGTCAATAAGAGGAACAGACTTATTTTGGGGGCTGTCGGGTTTGGCAATGGTTCGTTCCACTTTATTCCGAGTCTCCACTGGAACATGCGGGATATTGGCAGCGGTCTTAGCAATTTAGAACCCTAGAACTAGATGCCCTCCGCACTGATTTTAAGACCAACGCCCGCTTTTGCAACCTCCAAACTAGGCTCGTGAGGGCTTTATCAGCCTCAGCCTACCAGAAATTGCCGCCCGCATAATGGGCACCGAACTACCCGAGAAAGAATCCCGTTAAAGTATGCTGGAACAGGAATGGTTGCGGCGGCTGGAAGAAAGCACATTCAGGTTGAAATTAGGACCAGCTGAGTCTCTCTGGAAGGGTATTGACTATGCACACCACTTCCATAAGAGGTAATATCATTAGATATCTTCATAGTAAGCCCGGCGAGCACGCAATGCGAAATATGATAGACCGCAGTCCAGAGGCATACATTTTAAAGAAAATTCACAACAATATTTTTACATTGGTATGATAGCACAAACAGCAACCGACTTCCCACCCCTACAACCCCCAATCCTCCCATAGCTGAACTTCGAGCCCAGTCCCTCATCTCTCGTCTACTTCTCTCCACTTCAACCCACCCCCCCACCCACTCTGGAGCTTTAGAAAGGCCACAAGAGCAGCACATTCATTGGATGTATGATCCTCACTGTAAATCGTTATCATGCCAGTATTCCCATGGGCACGTTTAGAGCACTCATGATACACAAGCGGGATACAGGATTGGACGTCTTTCTCATCAAGCCCACGGGCTTTTATTTCTCCAGCTAATATTTTTTTAAAGGCATGGGTTGTGGCTAACACATTGAGTGCAGCCTGGGTTCCGGAAGGACAATTTCCGTGGAACTTATTGAGCTCTTTTGCATGTTCCACAATTCGCTCTGCACCTGAATATTAGTAACATCTCAATAGATTGGAATTCTCATTGTTTACCCAAAGCTCCACGGAGGTTGAAGTTATCGTACAACTTCACACACGCCATATTTGCCTTCTTAAGTGAATTCTATAAAGTAGTGAGTACAAAAAACCCAGAGTCCGAGTTTGTGAAACAAACCTCAAGTTGGCCAATTTGCGTCGATTTCTCTGCAATCTCTTTGTCTAGCGCATCGTACCGTTTAACCCAGTATGCTTCGACATTCTGCATCTCGCGGGAATTCTTAGCTTTGAGTCGCTCCGCACGATCCTGATAGTGTTTGTGCCATTCAGGATGCACATTCCACATGAGATCCCCCGCTGGCCGATCTGGTTCCACAAAGTTAGTAACTCCTTCCACCTATAGCTCCCCACGGTGGAAGATATGAATCTTACCTGGAGTCAGGTCGAGTGCCGGATTTTGGGCATCCTGTAGGATAGTTTGATGCTCAATAACTGTGTCTGGGTTCTCCATTGGCTGGTAGGGGGAGGCCATGGATGGAGGGAGGGTTTGAGGGCTTGGTAGTCGTAGGAGGACCTCGATATCCTGTGCGAAGCTCTTGCCGTTGCTGCGGTGGGTGATTTAGGAAACTTCTTGGGTGGAAGTTGGGGGAAAAGACTGTGACGGGTGATACCTCGCTTATGCAGCGTTGCAAGGATGTGCCTCATGGGTGGTGCATCGCTGGAGCAAGTCTGTCAGTAATAAAGCTATGCAGGATAAGCATGTTTCAGTACTTAGTACAGACTCAAATACCGAGAATGAGGTACAACATTAATTCCAGTTCCTCTAAATCCTGCTAATTTCTCTTCTAGATATAGACCTGAATGCCCAGGTGACACATCAGCTGTCCTGGTGCACTTCTGAAAAACTGCGCAAACCAGGTTGCATCTATCCCTCTCTTTTCTCCCAATCCCCCAGCACCGAAGTTTTTCAAATCACTTGCCCCGGCGGTAGCAACAATCCCGTATACAATATCGCAGCTTTCCTACAATTATCAAATCCTTAAATTCTTTCTCCCCCCGTGCTTTCTGCTCACCAACAAATGGGCAACCTGAATGCGGCTGAACATCACAGTAATCCCCCCAGATAAGTACAATCCCATACTCTTCCATGTTTTCCCTAAGATTCCTACCTCTCCACAGTGGCTTGCAGATGCAGTTTACTCCCATCTTTGCTACCCTTAAACTAAACTCCTAAAGGGCAGAGCTATGCTTCGAATAAGGGCATGACCATATGCTGCCACCCAGGTCTGCAATCTCAAGCTATGTGGAATCCTACTCCCCAATCCGATTACTGTCCTTTGCCACCTGGCCCGCAGGTTGGAGCCCTTGTTCTGGCTTGAGACGTGCCCTTTATGGCAGACTATATCTTTTTTTCTCGCTATATTCCCCGCAACAAATTGCCCTGTTGAACAATGAGCAACAAGGAAAGAGGATCATACTCAGTGTTCGCAAAGGGGCAGTCTGTCGATCCTGGACCAGGACCAAGACGGAGGGCACTTGTTGTCCCGTCCGGCCACCTCCCCCACACGCCCGACAGGTAAGAATAAAGGACTAGGACGGACAGCATTGCATTGTCTAGTCCAGTCATTTCCTGAACTTGCCCGACACATAAGATTAAAGGACCATCCACTAATCAGCTTCCTGCCATCACCCACAGTCATCCACCATCCCCAGCCATCCCTTAAACCCCCAGCCCTTCCCTACCATCCCCCACCATCCCCCCCCCGTCCCCTACCCAAACTTGTTTCAGATCATGGGCCTCATCATCCTTCCCCATGACTTCCGTCCTAGGGGTTCAAGGACGAGGATGGACTATATGTTGCCATCCCGTCCCGTCCTAGGCCCCGGACGGTTGAGAACACTGGCCATGCTGAAGGAGATATTGAAAACCGTAATTGGAACGAAGCCTAAGGAGGCTTAAGAAGCACCGGATTTTGGGAATCTATCTTGTTCTCATAATACTAGCTAGCTTCAACTGCATAGTACCCCATCCCTCCCACTCCTAGCTGAATCCAATTCTCATACATTGCAGCACCATTTCTCATAAAACCGAGACCAAGAAATAGTGAAACAAACAAACCTAGAGTTAGAAAAGACAAAATTACGGGTACTCCATTGGTTACAGGGCTCACAGGATTGGGAGTAGAACTTTAGGAGATTACTTGTTACTGATATTTTGCTGAAGATGAGCCATAGATATCGCCTATACCCCCACCCTAGGATATACTTGTATACCTATACCTCTCGGCCAGGAGTAGTTCACAGATTGCTACAGCAACCTCCAAGGAATTCCGGATGCAGGTAATGAATACACTTCCTACTCCTCTCCTTCCTCTCCTCGATGTTAGGATTAATTATTCCAGGTATGGGGTGTCATCTCAATCCATCCTACCATATTCTCTCCTGCCAATACGGGAGGACCACGGTCATTGGAACCGTCTACCACAGTGCAAACTTTGCCTCCTCCGCATTGCCCACCACCGAAGCCAAGCTTGATGAGAGGGTTCTCCTTCCTGAAGCAGATGCTCGCCTTGTACCCAACGATTACAAAAAGGGGATCATGATCTTTTTGGAGTGTGTTTATCACTATATAATTGTTTTGGTATTTCCTAGTTAGAAAGCAAGAAAGAGATGTGAAAAATACTGCAAAGTAATAGGGCAACGACTAGAGAGAGGGCATGGGATACTGTAAATGTTATAGCGCAGGTTTACAGAATTATGTGATATCAAATGTGTTTGGTTGGAAATTTCCAGATAGCATGCTTCTAAATAGACTGCAGTAGAGGGAGTAGGAGAGGACATAGGAGAGGGGATCCATATTTACTCCTGTAAATACCGAGTACAATAGAGTCCCACTCAAAGGAATTGATTTATCAAAGTCAATTCCCAACAAGTGCATGACCATGGCCCTTGCCTGAAAACAACAAAAACACCCTGAAACACAGAGGACATCTGACTGACCCCTCAGTCTCCTATCAAATATTATTATTTAGGTTCTGTCAGCACCCAGGATTTACAATACCTTTGGTACACAAATTTGCATGTAAAAATAAAAGTGATTTTACTTTATATTTCCTTTCCCTCATCATTTCTGGATATTTTATATGTGGAAAATTTTCAAATCCTTTTGCTTGCCCACATCACCAGTGGGAAGGGGGGGTTTTTTTTTAACCGAAATATCTTTGATTGTGCTCGATTTATTGAACAGCGGGCAGGGCATATATTTGGTCAAGTAGATTCATTTCTATAGTCATGAACTTTAAGATTTGCTGCTCTTTTTTTAGTACTCATTAATTCATCACTTGCTCCTGATATAGCTAGTGCTATTAAGAGTCACTGGTAGTGTTTCTATAAGGTGGGGCTTTTTTTTCCTATCATACCATGTCCTATGGGGTGCTGCTGGCTGGAATTAGGTTTTGGTAACTGTAAATAGCAATTTCATAAATTATGGTTCCGGAGGACAAGAGTTGGGACCAGTTTTCTCACGAAAGCTGTGACAGTTATGGATGCAACGGCAACTGTAATGCAGATATTAATAGGTAGGGTAATTAAAGAAACTGGTTTTTTCCCTGTGTTTTAGATTTTTCTTGGCAAAATAAAACATGTTACAATAAGCGTAAACATAAGCATTACGGTTGCTGTTGCATCCATAACTGTCACACTTTTCCTGAGAAAAGTAGTCCTAACTCTTGTCTTCCGGAACCATACTATAAATAACAGTAAATTTACTGTTAATTATATTTTTTGATGTAAATTACTAGTACTATCTCTACAGAATACAGAACCTAAGTTCCTACTCCACAACTATAATTGTAATATGTAATGCAAGTAGGAAAATCAACTTTGAAAAAAAAAAGAATACTGAAGGTTCATTGTAGCTGTGACATTCTGGTATGACAATCTATCCTTTTTGAAGATATAAAATGAATTTCTACATGAAAATTAAATATAGGTATTTGGATTTTATTGGAAAAAATGAGGATTTACGGCAATGGTATTAATTTATTCTTGTAAATTACATCTAGATGTTGTTATGCAAAAAATGTACAACCTTATAATATAAAGCTGTATATTTTCATAAAGGACCTATAGGTAAATTATAAATAACATTGTATAAGTTATGGTAAAATAAAATTATAAGATGGTTCCAAAAATGTATACTGTGTATCAAATAATTTAGAATAGGCAATACTTTAGGGTTCAGCCCCTAATTCAAAAAAGTATGGAGAGGTTCAATTTCCAATTACTGCATGGTTGTCATTGATATGTTTAAGCCATACTGTTTCAAATATAATATAATATTAGAATATAATATGATATAACTGAATGTAAGGTGTTCGCACCGGGGTGCTAGTTACATGGTCGGGTACAATAGGAGTTACTCACCGGTCTGCCAGAGACAGCAAGAGTGGCTCACTAAGGGAGGCTTCGATGGTGTAATAGGAGAATAAAGATAACCGTTCAACTGAGTATATTAAGTAATACTGTCTGTCGAAGTTTGCCATTTCCATCAAGGAATTTGGTGGTCTATTTAAGTACATGTGTTTGAGTATGATCATGAATTCTCACTCATGTTCTTACTCAATCAAAGCATAAAAATAACCAAGTATCAACCAATACTTAAAACAAAACATAAGACAAACTAAGTGTCAACCAATACATAAAACAAAACATAAAACAAACTAAGTATCAACCGATACTTAAAACAAAACATAAAACAAACTAACCGAGCACCAGCTCCAGTTACATTCCCCAAAACAAAACAAAACTCCTAAAAAAAAGAAAAAAAAGCAATCCCAATCCCTTATCCAAACAACGATAAGAAGGAAGCCCGAGGGTCATCCAGCTGATCGTCCTCCTCAAATGCCGAGGGGTAATGGTAGTTGTGAAAACATGCCGATCCTCCAATACATCCCTCTCGCAGGTCCGGCCCGGTGCAGCTCCTACACATATAGGAGGTAAAAAATGCAGGTGCGCATTTTTTATTGTAGGCTCGTTTCAGCGACTTCCACCAAGCCCTTGTCATTATGCAGTCCATCTGGTTCCATCTGAGGTAACAAAATATGTAGATCGGTCTGTGTCTCTCCATGGTAGGTTGGTCTCCGAGGTATCTGAAGGTGCATCGCCAGAGGTAGGAGTCCTTCTCGCTAAGCTTCGTGAAGTCTGAATTATGAATGGGGGAACAGATGAGGGGGGTATGGTTCTGTGAAAGTACGTGGATAGGAGGTGTAGCAGGCAAGGTGTGCAGGTTTGTAGGGGGAGTGGATTGTGCTTATTGGTTTTTTGCTCTTATTTGCTCGATGCGAAGTGCACCTTTTTATGTGCCTCTGCTCTTGGTAGTATTTTCTTGGGTACATGAGTTTCATGTAGGTGTGTGTGGGTCTTGCTTAGAATATTTTTGGTGTGGGTGTGTGGGTTTCGTGTAGGTGTGTGTGGGTCTCGCTTAGAATATTTTTGGTGTGAGTGCGTGCGTTTCATATAGGTGTGTGTAGGTCTTGCTTAGAATATTTTTGGTGTGAGTGTGTGCATTTTGTGTAGGTGTGTGTAGGTCTCGCTTAGAATATTTTTGGTGTGGGT